TGTCGTCCTCCTCATCGCCGCTGGAGTAGTAGGGACCTGTGGTGCCCAGCTCGTCCTCATCATTTATGTAGTACTGCAGCTCGTTGTCGTAGTCGCTGTACGACTGCTCAAAGTTGTTGCTGCTGGCGGATTTCTTTAACTGCAGCTGCAGCTGCAGCTGTTGCTGCGGCATGGGCCGTGCCGCGGGCGGCGTGTAAAGATTCTGAAAGTTGGGACGCGCCCGTCGCACAGATTGCAGCGGTCGCTGCTGCTGCTGGAAGGAGCTGGACCGACGCAGTGGCGATATGGAGCCAGATACGCCGCACATCGAAGACGGCAGCTCGTGCCCGTGCCCGTGGTCGTGCCGGTGCTCGTGCTCCACATCGTCCAGCGAGTTCTTGCGTCGATGCAGCTGCTTCAGCAAATACTCGCCGCTGGTCAACAGCTGAAGCTGGGCCTCGTTGATGCTGCTGGTCATGAGTGCACGATGCAGCGGCGATCGATGATAGCCCTGTTCCAGGCTGTGCTGTGGACTGCACTGAGCCGCCGGCGACTTAACCGAGCTGCGACGCGACGACGGCGTCTGCGAGGGCAGCTGCTCCATGGCCGGCCTAGAGCGGCTGGCACTGCGCGCACGTCCCAGCGTGTGCAGCGGCGAGGGTATCTTACTGGGGCTTTTCGGTGGCTTATATGGCTCGCCACCCACCTGGCCATTATGGCTGCACAGCGCCGGATCGCTCGCGTAGTCACAGTCGCCCAGCAGTCGATAACGCTCGGCCAGGCTGCGATTGAGCTTGGCAGCCGCCGCATATTGACGCTGCTGCTGCTGATTGTACAGGCTGAGACTGTCATCCGTCAGCGAATCCGCGCCCGTATCCGAGCAGTTGTAGCTGCGTGTCATCAGCTGCACCCGACAGAGATAGAGAGAGATGGGATTAGTTAATGCACTACGGATATATGTATATCATTATGATCTCTGCTCACCTGTGCCTGCGTCTGCTGCTGCTGCTTTCTGCGGCTGGCGGAGATGCTGCTAACATCCTGCGCCAGGCTCCGGGCACGCGCATTGCGCGCCCACTCCTGTATCCAGTCCTGCTTCGTGGGCGCCGACTGCAGTAGTGCTGCCTCTGTGGGCGTGGTTGGCGTCTCGGGCAGTTGATGCAGCTGCTCCTTCAGCTGCTGCTGCTGCTGCTGCTGCTTCTGCTGCTGCTGTGTGTTGCTGGTGGTGAACAGATTCAGGCGGTACTCGGCCTTCTGGCGATCTGTGGCGCTGCCGGCCATGGCCTGGGCATGACGCAACTTCGCCTCGTTGCTGACGTACTCGGAGCTGTCGATCTGCGAGGTGGACAGACTGTGCGAGTGGCGCGTCAGCTTGGGATGCGTGTCCAGAGCACGCTGCTTGGCCAGCACACCGCTCGTGGTGACGCTGGTGAAGCAGCCCACATCGGCGGCCGGTGATCGCGGCGACGGCGGCGTTGGAGGCGCCTGCGGCCGCAGCACACGCGACTTGAGCTGCTCCAAATAGGCGCCCGTCGCATTCGCATTCGCATTGGCATTGGCATTGGCATTGGCATTGGTGCTGCTGCCCTTCTGCTCCTGCTGCGGCGTCTCGTGGTAGTAGTTGACTTCGAGCACATTGCTGGGACGGCTAGGCTTGAGCGCCAGCTGCTTGGGCCGCAGCTTGGCCGCCGCCGCAGCAGCAGCTGCAGCCGCATTCCGATCGATGTTCATGAGATCCTTCTGCTCCTCTGTGTAGTTATCGCCGTCTAGAGTGTAGGTGCCCGCCTCGCTGACCGCGTCCTCCTCCGCCGCCTTCATGTCGTCCAGCGGCGGATGCGGACACAGCAGCTCCACCTGCTGCAGCGCCATCTGCATGGCCGTCGAGCGCGGCGTGAACTGTGCGGTGCGATTCGCCAGCAGATTGGTAGCGCCCTTTGGCGGCGCCGCCGGCTGTGTGGGCCTTGGCTTTTGGTTGGACGCGCGGCCAGCAGCTGGCTCCGTTGTGGCCGAGCTGCGCGGCGACCAGCTGTGCCGCTTGGAGGCGTCTCGTACACGCGAGGCGCTGCGCTCGCGCACACGCAACTTCACGGCGGGCGTTGTTTCGGCATTGGGCGTGGCCGCCGTCACTGAAGCATCATCAGCAACGCTGCTGGCGTCGAGGCTGCTGCGCTGCGAGTGCCGCCCGTTGCCACTGGTCGCCGTGCTGGCCTCGCTCTCCAGCTTGGACATGGAGGCGCCGCGCCTGTGGCGACTCTGAAAGCGCTCCATCATGTTCTTATAGCGGGCCGCCTGCGCTGCCGCGTCGTTCTCCGAGGCGTCGAAGTGGTCAATGGTGAAGGCCAGCGATTGCTTTGTTGCCGTTGAATTCGATGCCGTCGACTCGTCCTCCGCATCTGGCGCAGCGGAGATCTCTTTGTTGCCGCTGCTGCTGCTGCTGCAGCTGTTCTGTTGGTGATTCGCTCGGCTCAGCACAGCCGCTGCAATGGAACAGAGCCAGCAAAAATGTACAATTAAATTAGCATTTATTTACAGTTACAATTACGATCCATTTAATCGGTGAAAACGACTCCAACTCGGAAGAGAGAATTCGGTTCACCGCAGCAACTGAAGTGGCAAGCGAGCGAGTAGCAAGTGCAGCACGCGGCCGGTTCAGCCAGCATGCGGGCAATTGGGCGCCACTTAGTCGTATGTATGTACATTAAATGGAATTAAAGCACTCAACAGAAATGACTCTTAATTTAAAGCAGCCCTAATTCACAAGATAAAAACGAAGATAAATTTCTTTGCGCTTTTCTCAGACTTTTGTAATTTCAAAGGAAAATCACTTATGTTTCACATCACAGTCCCAATTCCCTTTAAATCTTCAAATATACTTTCGACAGCTTATGAATATGAAATGGACACAATAAAATGCTATCCGAAAATTATAGAAAAAATATTTTTTATGTTTTCAATCTTTTACGGTGCTGAATTAATTAAAAACCGAAATTTAGAATATTCACATTTTTGTAGAAATGTTTGAATTATAGTTTCAGAACACGTTTCCCGGACTTCTTTAAGTAAATATTGAATATATTTAAATGTGAAACGAATAAAAATGCAATAAAATAAGCATATTATTATAAAATAACCAAAGGTTCAATGCTCGTTGCAAATATGTCATAAAAAGTATATGCATATAATGGAAGATTTTCCGCAAAGGGTTATGTCAAGTAGAGCTTGTGTGCATAACTCCAATAATAACGGGTAAAACCCACAATAGACATTTTCTTTTTTTTTTCTTTTTGCTGACCATACTCAACCTTTTGCAAGTGACGCCCACCTGCAACGTGGCTATTCCCCCACTGCTTCCGCCAGCAGCAAATTTCTATACATTTCCGTGGCAAAGCGGCAGCCAAAAGAAAAGCAAACAATTTGCTTTCAAGTTTGCGCGGGACGGAACGGGATGGGAGTGGAGTGGAATAGGCGTCCATTTAGGGGGCAGCTCTACGTGCGTACTCGTGATCTCTGGCTGGCGAGGTAGACGTGGGCATATCTACTTATAAGTTTTATAGGGGCGAGCAGTGCATCAAATGAAGGTTAGAGTTCGTTGATTTCGGTCAAATTGTGTGTGAGTGTGAGTGTGAATGTGTGTTTGTGCGGGTGGGGAGGGGCAACAATTTTTTACGCTCCGCCTAACGCGCTGGCCATTGAAGTTTTGGACGCACGTGTCTTCCGTTCCGCCGTGCAAGTTCTCGACCTGCCTTTCAAAGATGACCAAATTAACGGGCGATTTCACTCAAACACTTTTGGCCGAAAATCAATTTATTTCCAGATTAATTATTCTATTAAGTTTCGGAATGGAACAGGAAACACAAGACAAAAGCGGCAAACCTTGCTTTAAAAATAAACTGGCCTTAAATTCATTAATTGTACTATACAAAAAGTTATAATTAAGGAAACTAAATATATAGAATGATAGCTGTTTAAAAAACCTAATCAGCAAAACTAAATATAAACTCTATAATAACGCTCGAGCGAAAGCAGATTCTTTTTCAGACTGGAATTAGTCATATTAGTTTTACTTAAAAAGGGCATAGTCTGATATGAACGAGACACACTATCCTCTCTATATATTTAACTGTTTGTGCTGACTGAAATTGTTGCTGTAGTTACCTCATGGAATGTCAGTGAACGCTGGCAAATTCACCAGCAAGTGTGAAAAATTCGCGGAAATGTTTGTATGAAACGATTCTGTTTGACAAACCGATCGACTTTATCACTGCCCGGTTATAAATATACACTATCAGCTCAACCCAAGCCGGCACAATAATTCCACAAAGGTCGTTCACCTCTTGGAACTGCTCAGACTGTGGCACCAAGCGAAAGGACTCGGTTGGCTTCTCAATAGTCAGGCAAGTGTCGCCTTCTTCGACAAGCTGTGACATACTGTGGCGGTTGTTCTCGTGCCCGCCAACCACTCGGGTGTTAAGATTCGATCAGCTGAATCAACACGCGTCCAATGGCCGAGGCGATGACCTCAATCAGATGACAATTGATGATCGAATGGATGCTTTCTCTGCTGTCGCCGTGTTAAAAAATAAGCACATATAAATATGTACATATATATATAATCATAAGTATTTAAATGTATGCAAAGCCGCAAGAGTTGAGCATTTATTTATTTCTTGATTGTTTTCCAATGAGTGAAACGTTTCAAAAGCAAACACACAAATCAAGAGCGAACCAAAATAGCACTAATGCGATTTGAAGACTTTTAAAGTTGGGCGATGACGTAAGACGCGCTTACTAATCGCCCAATTGGAAGCCAATTGAAACCCGTTTACCATTTAATTGCTATGAAAAACTAAAACAATGCTAAAATTGCTATCGATTTGCTGTCACTTGGCCATTGTCAGTTCGCATATAGTTGGGTAAGCGCAGTACCAACATTTTTGAAGGCTTTTTAAGCCAAAAAAAAGAAGAAAAACAGCAGGCGGCGGCTTTTCAATTTTGTGCTCTTGACTTTCCAAAAAGTCAAAAAGAAATTAACAGCCAAAAGTTTCAACAACAAATTGCCCTAAATGGTAATGGCAGTAACAACATTTTGTTTATTTATTGCAAAAAGTAAAAGCGAGCATAACAATAAAAATTATTTAGAAAAAAAGCTGCAACAAAAAAAAAAGCAACAATTGCCCCTCGACAACAATAACAACGACAAAGCGAGTCGCGATCCACAATATTTTGGCATGCTGAGTGGACAGTGTAATTACGGTTAGTTGTGGTAAATGGACATAAATATATATATATATATTTATATATGTAAGTACGTAGTATAGTGTACACTGTCGTAGCACATTTCCTGACATCGATCGTTTTGTGAGGCACAAGTTTCTGTTCTAGTTTGCAACAAAATCACGTAATGCACCAACCAAACAATGGCTGCAATTATTTGCAATTTTTCGTATACCCTGTAACTGATGCGGCACGTGAGGCGTTTCTGCGCACAACTCAATTGGCGCAAGCAAACGAACTAACCTAGCCCGAAAATCTACACACTTACTAAATTCAAGCAAAGAATCATCAAATTTTTGAAACTCAAAATCTTATATAGAAAATCTCACAGGACTTTGAGTAATACCCCATATATATAAAATATTTAAAGGCTGATTCTTATTTATAGAAGGTTTTCAATATTTTCTGAGGAGTATATATTATAATGCCCAAAAAGTTCCAATAGCTAAAAGAGCTTTCAACCAGATATATAGATCGATGGGTATCATCAAGTCCATCAATTGCGCTCGTCGCTCGTATATTGCAAATAATAACTTGAATTAGACATCAATTGAAGTTTAATTTTGTAGTTCGTCACACTGGCTTTGGTACTGGGTCAAGTGGTATGAAATTGTACCCAATTGTTAAAGCCGATATCTGGGCTAAGTTCCGATAAACAAGCTATCGATCGCATATAAATTTAATAACAATAAAGATGTGGAATTAATATTTACATTTGCGCTTATGGCATGGATTTCGTTGTGCGAAATAATTGCAAAAACAAAACAAAACCTCGACCATATCGCAACTGGCTGCAATCGATCAGAGCTCGAGCGTTGAGTCACCCGTTTTCGCGTTTTTGCGGGTGAATTGCGTGTGCTCGGCATGAAAATGGCAGATAATGACAGCAACTGTTGGGATTGTGTAAGATTTGTCTGTCACAAAACCAAACACAAAACGAGAAAAGAAAACGGTAATCTGCGGAATGGCAACAATCAAATACCCTCATAGATAGACAGACGCTAAATGCAACTTTATCAGAGCTTATCAAAAAGTAAACATTGGCTAATCAAATTAACTTAATTAATTATGTTAAAGTATCAAATGAAGTTTATTATAAATTGCTATTAAGCGATATTTTAATGACTGTAATGATTGTAGCTTTTATAGAGTAAGAGGGAAAGTAGAGACAGGCACTAGCACAACAACATCAAGATGCACAAATTAGGCTTATGAAGAGCTCTACGACATATTATGTTAGTTCGTAATTTAAGGTGTAACAAATATGTTCACGAATTCATAATACCCTTTGCAAGGGTATGCCAAAACTGATAAAAATTATGACAACATGGATTTTAAAGTGTCGCGAACTCAATTGGTTCGACTAGAGACTCGCTCTGGCAGTCGGCTGATATAGATTATGTCACCCGAGTTTCACAGTTGCGTTTGTTGCCACAAATCACAGCCCACAAATTCCATAGAATCGAACAGCAATTGTTTTTGTTTAAACAAATGCTAGAATTACAATCTCTGGAACTGTATTGTTTTGCCGAAGCATATTTGAAATAATTGCAGTCACATTTTCTTTTGATTAAAGGGCAAAATATTCGATTTAATTTTAAAAGATGGGCAACATGCCAAAAAGAAAAAATGCTTTGCATACGGCCTTGTGCCCAAATTGATAATGTCTACGCACGCTTGATTAGATGTTCAGGTTCAGTTTATATATGTACATATCTGAAGGAGCTCTATTATATCAAATAACCAAGGGAAAAGTATGGAAAATGCCCATGATTTTGCCAACGTATATGTCGTCATCGATTTTATTAAGTGTTCAATTTTATTCGATGCATGCAATTTTTAATTTTAAGTCCGATTTATAATTTGAAATCGTCTTTCAATTTAAGCAAATCAGAGATTTAAAGTCTTCGCCCCACTGTGCAACCGTTCATTATGTTCTTTCATGGGTGTGTTTGTATATGTGTTTGTGTGTTTGTTTGCCATGACTAGTGCAATAAATATTTGCGCTAAAGCCGTGGCCAAAACTCGCCAAATAGCTTCATTAAAAATTCAAATTAAAAGCAAAAAAGCGAAAAAGAGACAAGCAACAAGCTGAAAACAGCAACAACAACAACAACAGCAGCAAGCTTATGAATACCGACTCTCTTGTTATTGTTGCTGTTGTTGCAGCTGCGCTGCTGCTGCTGTCTGACTGCTTTTTGTCAACAACGACGTCGACGGCGACTGCAACGTCGACAGCGGCTTTAGTCAATTTGCTCACCTTTTTCGGCCGGCGATGGCGGCGGCTTGCCAAGGCAGAACTTTATGTTTGACTCATCGATGGCAGCGCCAAGTCCCACGAAGCTCGACGCATGCAGCTGCGGCTGAAGTCGCGGCGAGAGTGAGCCTGGCGTCGCTGCTGCTGCCGCTGCCTCCTTGTCGTTTATGATCTCGGCAATCTTCTTGATGTTCTCGGGCGTCGTGTCGGCTTTCTCGCGCCCATCCAAGCTGTTGTTGTCGTCCTCTTCGTAGGCACGGTTATTGTTGTTGTTGTGGCTGGACATTTGCTTGTTGAGCTGCACCACAGCAGTTGCGCCGACTGCAGACGCTGGCGTTGCGGCTGCTGCTGGCGGTTCGCCTCCTGCATTTGTTGCTGTTGTTGTTGTGGCTGCCGCCGTTGCCGTTGTGTCATTTGCGTATGATGTCATATTAATACGGATTTGGGAGTTCTAGTTTGTGGCCTCGGACAACACCTATGTATTCCACTCTCTTTCATTCACTTTTTAATTAGTTAATTAATTAACGAGCACGTCATGTTTGCCAACCGTGCTGCTCATTCGACTACAATATCTACTACTATTTTGCTGCTACGCTTTTCACTGCTGCCGCTAGCGTTTCTGCGTACGCAAATTCCTGCACGCCTACGTCGAATAAAAGAAATGTTAAAAATTACATAAAGAAATCAAGAACACACGCACAAAACAGACACAGCAATACACACACACACACACACACACACACATGTAAGCACACATTCAAACGCACACAGAACCGTCTAGTGTTAATGACCATGCGACGACATATTCAATTGTTCTGGCCGCGCTCTCAGTTGCCGCTGCTGCTGGTGCCTTTGGATTTCTGATTGGACAAGCATGCATGGAATACAATTTCGAGCACTTCCATTTCTACACGTAAAAATAGCCAAGTCAGTCGCCGTTTTGCCTTTTCAAGGTTGCTTTTGTTGTTAATCGAATTTTAGCCATTCCGTTGTTGTATTTTTATATTTTTACATTGAACATTTTTGGAAACAGCAGCCGACAAACACACACACTCAAACATATACAACCAAACACACACACATTTACGTTCAAGGGCGCCGTCCGCTGAGACTGGTTCACTGCACTTGCGCTTGCACTTGCACTTGCGTTTGCTGTTCACTTTTCGTAGTCACTTTTGATAATGAACTCTTTCTTTGCATATCTTTATCTGTGTTCTCACTGTTTCTTATTATAATTTCTTAACACGCGCTGCCGTTTGCTGCTAGCCGTACGCAGTCCAAACGCTTACTCACGCCAGTACAGACACAGTTAAGACTGAAAGAGTCGATAGTCGCCAGTGTGTTTTGGCCAAAAGTGACGTATGGCAACGGGTTGTGAGAGAGAGCAAACGAACACAACAAAACATCTGCTGCGCGCTCACTAAACCGGAGTTGCCGTTGTAGAGAGACCCGCGCAGGGCTGTCGAGTTTCAGCACATATGTATATAGTTCACGGAACTAGTGAAAAGTAGCCGATCGAATGCATGTGTATTTATTAAAAATGTGGCTGTTTTAAATAAAGAAATCCATTGAATAAATTTTGAAAAATGCTTGTCCGTAAATTAAGATGTAAACTTGGTGGATTTCTCACTTACTACTCACAAATTAAAAGCATTATATGTAAATCTTCAGAATGGTATTTAAATGAACCATTCAAGTCTTTTGATATGTGGCAACGCTCTGCGCATAACGGCGCGCACACAATTTGTTTGCTTTCGCTTTCGCTCTCGCTCACCACCCCAAAACCGAACTCTCGGAACAAACAATTGATGACGCATTGATTGTTTTGGCTACAAACTAGCAACTGAATAAGCTAATGAATCCACTGATAATTGCACCCGAAGGCGAATACGCAACGCACAAGACACAAATCAACGTTAATTAGCCATGCACAACAAATGAGCGCTTCGAAATTCACGCCTGAATAAGTACGATTTATTCGGTCGCAGGCAGTGCATACGACAGGTGGCCTTCGCGTGCCATCGCTCTGCCTATTTTTATAGCGAAATTTGTGCGCACAGTTACAGTTGGAACTGCAATAAGTAAACAACATTGGTTTAACAACAGATGCAGCTGGACAATTGACAGACGTCAACAAAAACAATTGCCGCATAAATGATAAGAGCGCACTTTACACACCCACACAAATACACTCTCGCTCTTTGGCTGGCGCACGCTCTCTCAGCATTTTTGTATTGGCATTTTTGCTGCCCCTGCACTTGTTCAGCGTCCAATACTTATTCTATTTCTTTGTGCACTAATTGCTTGTCTAATGCACTTTTCATTAGGCAACTGCCTTAGTTAGAGGCATCAAACATTTTCACACAATTTTCGTAATTATTTAAAAGAATTTACTAGGTGTTATGTGCAGGGAAAAACCAGCGCTAGGATTTGCAGTTATTCGCGTTTGTTGTGCCAATCAGACTAGAGACGGGGCAGTAAGACGTGCGATGTATTGACTGTGACGATGAACAGTGTGACCAGCCACACTAACAGAGAATATACCAATAAATTTGGCCGCAATTGGCGGGAAAAAATAGTTATTTCAAATTCAAATAATGATCCAACGACATTTGTACATCTACATAATATATTAAAATATCGAAATGCCTCTATATATTTGTTAATATAAAAGTTAACCTATAGTTAGCTTAAACTATAGTTATTTTAAAAGTCCAGGCGTAATCGAGGCCACGCTTATCAATATGATGTTTGGGTGGAAATAGGATGTGCAATTTGTTGTGGCTTGCCGTCCACTGCGAACCACCAAAGTTGGCTTAAATTGGAAAATAAAATGGAGGGTTTGTTGGGCTACTCACGGCTATCTTCGTGTCCTCCATGCCCAGCATAATAATCTGGGTGGTCTGCTTGTTTAAAACATCGCTGTCCATGCCCAAATCGAGGCCCGTGAGCAAAACATTGCGAAAGCTATTGATATCCTTGCCAAGCGGATAGATGTCCAGCTCGTTTGTGTCGTACGGATATTCCAGCACAAATGCATAGATAACAATAATGCCAGCATCATCCGACTCCTTGCCCCGGGTGTACCACACGTGCGGCGTCAG